CTTGGTGAACCCTTTCTGTAAGGAGATACACATGATGATCCTGCTATTGAAATAAAACCTCCATGCATCACCACAGGGCATTTGAGCTCACTTATCACTTGGCTGCTGAGATAGGCAAATCTCCCTCTATGGCCTTTTTGTGTGTGTTGCTTTCCTATTTCCTCTTGCCACCACTTTAGACATTAAAGCCTGGAATGACTTGAGCCCTCTTTGACATTTCTGGTTTGTCATAAGTAGTCAGTAAGTGCTAGTTGTAATAATAATTATTATTACTCCTGTCATTAGCAATATAAAGCAATTTGGGTGACAGTGATTTGAAACCTATGAAGCACTATGAAAATGCAAAATATTATTATTGTATACTGTTGAGGCATGAGATCCAAAGAGCATGGTAGGAAGAATGGTGAACGGAAAATCAGGAAAGCCAGATCCTAATGCCACTCCTACCACTAACCAGCAGTGTGACCTTGCGCCAGTCTCTTTAGTTTGTCATAAGTAGTCAGTAAGTGCTAGTTGTAATAATAATTATTATTATTCCTGTCATTAGCAATATAAAGCAATTTGGGTGACAGTGATTTGAAACCTGTGAAGCACTATGAAAATGCAAAATATTATTATTGTATACTGTTGAGGCATGAGATCCAAAGAGCATGGTAGAAAGAATGGTGAACGGAAAATCAGGAAAGCCAGATCCTAATGCCACTCCTACCACTAACCAGCAGTGTGACCTTGCGCCAGTCTCTTTCTGATCCTCCATTTTCTTACTTGTAAACGAAGCAGTTTGATTAGATTATCTTGAAGATCCATCCCAGCTCTGAAATTCTTTAATTCTTTGACTGTTGGAGCAAATAACTTACACAGCAAATCTTACACAGGGCCTGGAATAGAGCAGAAGTTCAATATGCATTACATCTATCCATGGCCAAAGTACGTTTCTGAAGTTAATAAAAGTTAACCCCAACTGCAATAATCAGAAAGCAATTTAGGGGAATGCAATGAAAGTCAAACTACTCCTACATAGCAAATCTTACACAGGGCCTGGAATAGAGCAGAAGTTCAATATGCATTACATCTATCCACGGCCAAAGTACGTTTCTGAAGTTAATAAAAGTTAATCCCAACTGCAATAATCAGAAAGCAATTTAGGGGAATGCAATGAAAGTCAAACTACTCCTACACACCACAGGAATTCTGGAGGACATCATCGTGGCAGAAGATAATAATTTATATTTATAATGGCAATATTCAACTAGTCTGAAAAAAGACTAGATTATGCCCAGCAGCTGTATACTTAGGTAAGGAAGTGGATGCAAGAACTCTTTGACATTTTTCAGATCTGTGGATAGTTAGGTTGTGCTGGCAGCCCTCCACACAGCTTGCATGGCTCCTCGATTCCTACTCCTAACATTTACTGAGTATCTGCTATGTGCTAGTTGTGGAGGTAAAGTCTGAGGCTACTGAGACAGTCTCTGTTCTCAAGGAGCTGAAAATCTACTGAATAAAGCATTTTGACTGTGGAGGATACTTTTACATTTTCAGCATAGTCCTGTATTGTGCTTATATTGTTTATATACTGTTTGCCTATTATTCTGTGAAAACATAGCTGTTTGTGTATTCCGGTTTGGCTTGCTTCTCCACCCTCAGCCCTCCAGCAGCTTCTGGATGTTAAATATTATCTCTTCATGTGAGTTGCACCAGAAGGAAGAGTCATCTGTTACTCTTCTACTTCCTTAATGAGTCCTCAAGCTAGTTTGCAGGGCAGCTATTGATCCTTTCTTTTTCTTTCCAGAGGATTGATTAGTTCAGATTTAGCTGTTTGGTATTATTCTCCCCCATGGCTCAAATTTTATTCTTCTTGTCCCCTTACTACCTCACCCCCAAATAAAACAAAACAACCAGAAACAATAAGCAAAACTAGGCATATGGGTGGTGGCAGCACTTTGATGGATAGACTAAATATTTCTTTGCTACTATAGCAACTACTATTAAATGCCTTGTCATTTACCTCTGACGATCTTTGGAAATATGAAAGTTGTTTTGCATATAAGTGCTTAGAATCTCCTCAATTATCTAAAATATTTTCATCTCCCTCTAAGATTCTTCTTAAAGGGACTTTTATTATTTTCTTCAGATATTGTTATAAATATAGAATGAAGTATTGCTAGATTGCTCCAAACTCACTTATTTTCATATTCCCTGAGAAAGATATTATAAAAATCATTATAGAAAAATTTTCCATAGGAACAATTAAAAATACAGGACTTGATTCTTAAAGATACTTCCAATTATCTGGAAAATTGACACTAGATAAAAGAATGCTCACTCAACAATTCATTAGATAAACATGTGTTAAATGCCTAAATGTCAGGTATTGTGCAAAGTACTGCAGACATAAAGGAGATTAAGAAATGGTTGCTGCTTTCAAGGATCTCTACTAAAAGTTGTTTGCTTTATATCTTGTATAAATACTTAATATTTTACAAAATACTTTCCACCTGTAATAAATCATTTCGTCCTTAGAACAACCAATCTTGGTTTCACACTTCATAAGCTTGAGATTTCTTATTGCTCACAGTTTTGGTAACTGGAATTTTCATTTTGACAATGATAATGTTACTATTTCTCCACTAATCCTGGAATGATTTTATGTGCTTAATGATTACAGTTTGCAAAGTGCTTTCATGTCTCATTGGAAACACAAGTTTTTTTCATCTTAAAACCTTCTAGTCAATGTTCCTTTTTTGTCCTGGGGGGAAAGGGGCTAAAATGACTTCTCGAATTCCCTGTGAGTGCTGTTAAAACAACAGTGACCTGTACTGGACAGTGACCCAAAGTGGGGACCTGGTTCTTGGATTCCTTTCCCATCAACGCCTTTAAGCCATAATCTCAGAAGTTCATTCCTGCTTCATTTTTGCTCCCCATTTTTCCTTCATTCCATACTGGGTCATTTGCTATCTTGGAATGTTGTTTCTGTCAAAAAATAGAAACAGAATTTAGCATCTTCGGGATTATCCTGCCCAATGTGTTCACTTTACAGAGGAGTTGAGGCCCAGAGCCATCAAGTGTCAATGCCAAAGCCACACAGATAAGTGGGCTTGAATCTGAGATGCTATACTCTGACTAGATGTCTTTTAAAAAGCTACCTGTCAAATGAAACATGCTTCCCAGCATAACATGTGTTTCTCCTATACTGCTAGTCTATAAATATTTGATTACTGTTGCAACAGAAGTTTACCCAGTTGCATAGTATTTCACAGATTTTATTATGTTTTCAGTTTTTTCAGAGTCTGCCTATTCACCTAGGTATTACGTGGTCATTGAATTAACAAACATTTATTGGGCATCTACTATGTACCAGACATAATATAGGCATTGGGAACATGAAAACCACCAGATTTTGGCCTGACTTTAATTGGAAGTATTCTTTGTATTTGTGTAGGATCATTCAACAACGGGTCATCAGTAACTGTATAGTTTTAGCGTAAATAATCCCATAAATGTGAGAAAATTAGTAACAAGAATTGGACTCTAGCAAAGTATTCTAATGCAGACTTTTACTTGTGCATTTAGAATTTTGCATGTGCAGAGGACCCAAGAATCACTATTTAAATGTCGCCAACCGTGGCTTAAAAGTCTACCAAATTTGGGCCGGCCCGGTGGCGCACTGCTACAGTGCGCCGCTTAGGAAGCGCAGTGGCGCTCCCGCCGAGGGTTCGGATCCCACATACAGACCGGCCGCTCACTGGC